TTGAGGTAGGGTCTCCCTGTAGCCCCAGCTGGCCTGGAACTCACTATGTAGACCAGGCTGGCCTTGAACTCACAGAGATCCTCCTGCCTCTGCCTCCCGAGTGCTGGGAGTAAAGGTGTGCGCCACCATGCCCGGCTTTATATCTTTTGTTTTGTGTCCGGGTCTTCATATGTAGTCTATACTGGCCTAGAATTCTTGTTGCCATCAGCTGCCTTAGTACTGAGATTATGTTTTGTACCACCATGCCTGTCAGGTTAGCCATGTCCTTTAGTAATGTAGTATTTTCAGTTAAATTATATGGAAAGTTGGAAACTTCTGGAATGTTACCCTTTTAATGACTTATTTTCATGTTCATACTATTCAGGACATACTTTCTGGTGCTGGGTGTTGAGCCTAGGACCTTGCCCAAGCTAAGCCCATGCTTTGCAACTTAGCTGTACTCATAGTTTCAGAAAGCACTTCAATAGCTGTATTCATTGATTTACATTTAGTAGGCAAGAAAATAAAAGTACTCAAGATGCTGAAGATAATGAGGAAGTGGATGAGGAGGCTGATGATGGTCCATTGTTGGTTCCTCGAGTAAAAGTGGCGGAAGATGGTTCTATTATTTTGGATGAAGAAAGGTGAGTTAGAAAGGGAGTGGAGAGGGAGGGAGGGAAGGAGGGAGGGAAAGAGAGGGAAGTGATACTCTTTTTAAAGGAACAGATGTGCTTGTCTAAGGAGAGATTTGGTTTCTGAATCTGTCATCACTTTTGACCCCCATGGTTTATATCATGAATGCTGTGAACAGAAAAGAGCTAAACTAATTTGTAATTTTTACAAATTTTGTATGAGAAGATGGTATTGCTATAATATTATTTATTAACCTAGCATTTTTTTGCTAACTTTGCTGTTGAGTCCAGTGCTTGACCTAATTGTGTACTGTCTCTCACCAAGACAGATTTCTAGCATTGACTCAGTCTTGAAGTTGGTATTTAGATTTTCAACCTTCTTAATTAATTTCACATTTTGGTGCATGATGATACTTAACAGATTGAGTATGCAATAAAGCATAGGTATAACATCAGTTATAACATTAAATTTCTCAGCTTTAGCATTGTGCAATCATTCTAAAGTATGTGTTTTTAAAGAGATCAGTTAATAGAGAGGAATAGAAGTTTTGAACAGTTTAATTACTAAAAACTTATATAGTATTTAATTTTGACTATAATAAAACAAATGTACTGCCACTTATAATAATAGTTTTTATGTGTGATGATGATTTTACAAGTCGTTAATAGCTGAAAGCATGACCTAGGAGACCCATGGAAATCAACAAAACAAAATAATGTATGCTAGCACATGCCTGTATTCTCAGCACTTGAGAGGTGGAGGCAGGAGGATCGGCAGTTCAAGGCCATCCTCAGCTGCATAGAAAGTTCCAGGCTAACCAGGGCTACATAAGACCCTGTCTTAACAAACAGAAAAGGCCGTAGAACAGTTATTTTTTAGGTGATTTAAAGATATTTTGTAATGTTGCATTCTTAAAGATCTTAAAAATAGGTTCACATTTATTCCTTCCCCTGAGGAATCACGTTTTAAGTGGAAACTAACATGTTTGAAAAAATATATTTATTTCAAATTTATATTACCATTTTTTCCCAATATACATTATACTTTTACTACTACCATGGTAAATTAGAATACAGCTATTTAAATCCGTTTTACTGTTGGTTTCCTTGTTTTTAGAGTGACTATTTGAAAATGTGTTTCTTTCAGTTTAACTGTAGAAGTTTTAAGGACAAAAGGCCCCTGTGTTGTGGAAGAAAATGACCCTATATTTGAGCGTGGCTCGACAACTACATATTCCAGCTTTAGGAAGAACTATTATTCAAAACCATGGTCAAATAAAGGTAACCAATTTTTATTAGGTCTTCTTTTGCTTATTTTAAACTAAGTGAATTATATTATGGTTCTGATTTAAATCAGACTTTCCATAAGTGAAATGTTGTTTTCTATTCATTTAATTTTATTGGTCCCTCATACTCCCTCCCCACACTGTGTATTTGACTTTTTCTTTCTTTTTTTTAAATTTTTTTATTTTTATTTATTACTTTTACGTGTATGACTGTATTGCCTGCATGTGTATGTGAGTGCACCCATGTCATGCAGTGCTTGAGGAGGTCAGAAGAAGGCGTCAGATCCCCTGGAACTGGAGCTGCAGATGGTTGTTAACCACCATGTGGGTGTTGGGAATCAAACCCATGTCATCTGTAAGAGCAGTTAGTGCTCTTAACTTCTGAGCCATCTCTTCAGCACTGCATCTTTTTATTTTTAAGAATTAGCTTTTTGGTCATTTTGTCTGGAATCTCCTATCAAATTCTTCTATAAAAGAAACACAATTTAAATGGGTAATTTCCTTATTCATGGTGATTGTGCCTTTGGAGCTTTCTGTTCCCAATATTTCCTAATGGCCAGGATGTTCTACTTTAGATAACTTTTTTACATGTATTTTATTTATTATTTTTATTTTATGTGTTTGAATGTACTACCTGCATGTGTGTACCTGTACCTGTGTTGTGCAATGCCTGTGGAGGTCAGAAGAGGGCATTGAATCCCTTGGAACTGGAGATACGGATAGTTGTTACTTACCTTCCATGTGGGTGCTAGGAACCAAACCTGGGTCCTTTGCAAGAGCAGCCAGGCTTTTAACTGCTGAGCCATCTTTCCAGCCCCTAGATAACATTTTATAATAAAGTTCTGTAAGTAAAAATTATGGAATTAGCCAGGAACAGTGGTACATATCTATAATACCAGTGTTCAGGAGGCTGAGGCACTAGGATCGGGAGTTTGAGGCTAGCCTAGTTTAAAGAGGCCTTGTCTCAAAAAATATATATACACAGTACTTGTTTCATAGAGGTACTTACTACTTGCCTTTTAGTCTAAAAACAATAGAGTTTTGGGGGGAAATTAAAAAAAATTATTTTTATTTTTATTCATTTATTTTTTGAATGAATAAATCCTTTTATATATATA